ATTCACTGCCACACAAGAGAGGCCTGAGGAAGCAACATATCCATTTTTCAGTGGGGAATGGACAGGTGAAATAAGTACTTTTAACAAGAATGCAGAATACAAATGAATAAAGCATCTTTTTCATGATCCTTCTGCTACTTAACTCTTTCCAAGCAATTCACTTACCCACAATTTTTGTAAGCTGAGAAACCCAAATCTCTCCCTTCTCTTTGCCTACTAGTCAAGTGAGAGTAGTACAATTCACAATTCAAAGAAGGCATTATCTCTGGCCTTAAAAAACAGCACTCCTTTGTTTTTGCTTCTTTGAACTTGAGCACCCAGCACCCTGTTGGAAGAGAAGCTACATTCTTGCTGAGTATGGAGAGAGAAAGGCTGTTAAAGCAACTCAAGGAAGGTATTTCCTTCCATGCCTGTGTCTTCTGCTAAAAAACCAACAGACCCTGAGCCTGAGCACCTTTGCAAGGGCTTGTAGGCATACAGAAAGAGATCCATGCACTGCACCATTTCCTGACTACTCCTCCGTCAGGAAATAAGTTTGTTCCTCAATAAACCACTGAAATATGTCATGCAATTCATAACATATCAAAATGAGATTTATCCTTGCACAATAGCAAAAGAAGTTGTAACGTGAAAGGAAGTGTTGAATTTAGAAATTAAATTAATCTTCAAATGAAGAACAGTTATGCCAGTTTTGAGATGGTTGGTTCATCTTCTATATTCTCACTTCAGAAAAACCAGCTGGTTTTGAAATAGTACCAAACTGCACCAAAACAGATTATTTTTTCTGTTAACTGTAACTATATACTCAGCTTTGATTTCTGAGAATCATATTTTAATGATACTCCACATGAGCTATAAATAAAACTTACAAAAAAAAAGTTTACCAAAGTTTTCCAAAGGCCTGGTATTTGTTGGAAGAATTGTCCCTGCCACTGTAGTAGAAATGAGAAGAAAGGTCTCAGCTTCAGCTCCATAAGATAGTAAAGGAATTCTGGAAAAATAAAAGCATTAGCAGTAGTTGCTTTAGCTGTTTGTAGTAAGTTTTGGAAACAATGCACAAACCCAAAACATTAGGCAACCATGACACTTCCAACCTCACCACAGTTGGAGAGAAAAGCAAAGCTGACAGAGAACAAAACTTTCCTTCTCTTCTTTAATTTCAGGCTTATATTAAGGCCTAATCTAGTAAAACAGTTTGAACAAGGTATGTTATGTTAAAGGAATACACACGTGGCTTCCTTCAAAGCCAAACAAACAGTCTCCTCCAAATCAGTAGGCTGTACTACTGGAAATCAAATTCTCAACATTGATACTTCAACAGAATAGCCTTTTCTGCAGAAAAATGAGAAACAGTGTACACAACAATTTAGTAAAGGCTTCTTTAAATATATATTTATTAAGACTCCCTCAGCAAGCCTTGGGCAAAACCAGAATTTAGTTCTAGATCGACAATTCTTAAGCTATCGCTGAGTTGGAATGAAACTTTTCATAAGGAAAACTATATGTAAAAAAAATTTAAGTTAATTCTTTAAATGCTAGGTCCAACTTTTAATTAAATTTAAAGTCTCTTTACTTGCTCTTTTGTCTTTAGTCTTTATTTTATGCCAAAGAGAGTAAACAGACATGTAGTGAAACTAAGATCATAAACAGAATCAATTTCTTACTGTGTTATTTTAAAATCAGGTATTTTTATGCTTCTGCTTGATATTTATGAAATCATCCTTAGGGTATGTTTTAACACACATCTGCTCTCTGACAAAAAAAAAAAATTATGTTCTCTGTTTCATTTGATAGAATACCCTTAATTCTTTCTAAATGCATTTGTTTATAAACAATTACAGAAAGAAGTGTTAGAAATAACCCATAAAAGGGGGGGACAGGAATCAGAATCAGAGTGACGTTAAAGCAAATGTAGTCTGATTTCTAATGATAGAAATTATTTTAAAAGCAGATTGCACACTAAATTCCAAATAGAAAATATATTTAAACGTGCATTTCTGTGAAAGTGACATATCAAGATGCACACATCAGTGGAGTTATTGTGCTTGTCATGAGTATCAAAAAAGCATTAATATATACAGAAAACAATCTATTGGCATAAAACCAGTATGCAGCAAACACAAAAATGTAACAAGTTATATGCAAACATTATTTCTATGATAAAATATAGTTTTATCTAAAGAGCAATTTGAATTTATCAAATTCCAAACCTGAAGTATTAAGACCCTTTGCACTACGAATACAAAACACGTACCTCTCCACTCGAGCAAGCACAGATGAACAGGACAATTCTAGTTCTCGTCTCTTCTGTCTAACCGTTGCATTGACTTCTGCGAATTCTGTACTGAAACACAAATTTCATACAAAAAGTTACAAAAAATAACTTTGTACTATAACAATTTTGTATTTCAACAATTGCTTCTATCAGTGACTTTTTTAAAATTTAAGTTTATCAGAACTTTCAGTCACAATGAAACTATCCATGATTACTGTTTAGAGGGAAAAAGCAGTCACAGTAAACTAACTGAAGTCCTAAATAAATGAAGCAGACAGAATGGAAAACAGGAGATGACATGTGTCTTCTGGGGAGCTGAAAGATGGAGAAACTTCGCATCCTTGACAAATCAACACTGTTGCATGCACAGCCAAAAGGTTTATTCATTTACAGGCTGCTGAAAACATATGGACACAATCATTTTTTCATTAGGCCATATTATCCAAATAATGTTTTTCTAGACTGTTCTTTTTCTTCCATCTTCTCAACTGATTTTTTTTTTTTTTTTTTTTTTTTTAACACTCGTTCTTAAGTATTAGACTCATTAAACAAAACTGCTTCAAGTATGTTTAAAGTATTCCCCTCTTGGAGTCAAGGATCAACATAAAAAATGACTGTTTCTGATAAAAAACAGGATATTTACTGTTAACTGTTTTGCTAACTGCTGTTGTAGTAACAGGACTAACGCTTTCCTATCCATGGCTTCAACTCAGCAAGGAGTTTATTATGAGCTAAAAATAAAACTTATTAACTCTTATTAAATCAATGAGATTAAAAGCACACACTCAAGTATTTTAATGCTGGACACATGACAGATTGGGGTGTGCCCTTAACAATACTAATCTTAAAATATTTGGGTTTATCCTTTAACAGCTGTTCATTCATGAATATCAACTCAGACATCTTCAAAATATTTTAAAGCAGTATATAGACAGGAGCAGAAGGAACTATAGCATCTACAATATGTTAACCCATCAGTTATATCAAGCACTAGTATATACTAACCAGTCATTTCTACAACTAAAAAAGGATTCTTCATTGCTACCACCGGCCGGAAGCATGCTGAAGAAATTAGTTCTGAAGCACTCATTCCAGCAGGTCTGTCTTCTGGGCTACAAAAAAATGTATGAATTAAAGGCATCCAAAATAAAATAATTAACATTTAATACATGGAGATGCACTGAAATTAAATCATGTCAGCAAGACTTTAGCTCACAAAAAGCAGGCATCATAGTAGCTCCATAGTTACATGCTGAGATTTGCAGTTGCAGCAAACAAATATTCTCTATTCAGTCTAAATTTTCCACACCTGCAATTTATATAGGCTTTCCAGGGCAAAATCTTTAATGCTCCACACACAAATTACGAATAAATGAGCCTGACCTTTACTATTTCACAGTTCCCATTTCTGCTACCTAATGAACCACCATAAGTACAGTGCTAGCACCTTCAGACAGTCCCCCTCACAGCAACTCACTGAATGTCTGGTTTCAAAGTAACAGGAAGAACTAATGTAAGTAGCTGGGATTCTCCTTTGCCTTCAGGTAGAATTATGAAATTGCAGACTGACTGGTGCGTCTGTTTACTGGGCCCTCACACAAAGGCACGATACTCAGAACCCACCTCTTATTTCAAGAAATCCCACCCCCTGTTGCAGTTGTTAACAACGCCTAGCCACGCACTGTATGCTATCGCACTGCCTCTCGCATGGTGTGTAGTAATATGACACCAAACTGGGAGGTGTGGTGGATACACCAGAAGGCTGTGCTGCCATTCAGCGTGACCTGGACAGGCTGGAAAGTTGGGCAGAGAGGAACCTGATGAGGTTCAACAAGGGCAAATGCAGGGTCCTGCACCTGGGGAGGAACAACCCCATGCATCAGTACAGGCTTGGGGGGGACCTGATGGAGAGCAGCTCTGCGGAGATGGACCTGGGTGTCCTGGTGGACGACAGGTTAACCATGAGCCAGCAGTGTGCCCTGGCTGCCAAGAAGGCCAATGGGATCCTGGGGTGCATCAAGCGGAGTGTGGCCAGCAGGGCGAGGGAGGTACTCCTTCCCCTCTACACTGCCCTGGTGAGGCCCCATCTGGAGTACTGTGTCCAGTTCTGGGCTCCCCAGTTCAAGAAGGATGAAGAGCTACTGGAGAGAGTCCAGCGGAGGGCTACAAGGATGGTGAGGGGACTGGAGCATCTCCACTACGAGGAGAGGTTGAGGGAACTGGGCTTGTTCAGCCTGAAGAAGAGAAGGCTGCGAGGGGACCTTATAAATGCCTACAAATATCTGAAGGGTGGGTGGTCCTCTACAACCTACTGTAGGTGACCCTGCTTCGGCAGGAGGGTTGGACTAGATGTCCCACAGAGGTCCCTTCCAATCCCTACCATTCTGTGATTCTGTGATTCTGTGTAAACTCTCTTGCTGTGCACTGGGCTGGCTGCAGGGGAAAAAAGCCCAAACAATATTCCTCCAGACACTTTTCCCAGACTACCAGACTGACAACACTTACCTACGCTGACCCATTTTTACCATTTATATCCTTTCACCTTTTATATTTCAGGGTTAATGCCACCTTGAATCTGACTGAAACATTCCTGTTCATTCCCTATGACTGGTATTTTAAAATGGGAACTTACAGGGTCTCCCCATCTTTTTTTCAGAATATATTTACTCTGATGAAAAATAAACTTTGTAATAGGACGTACATAAATACATGTCTCCAGTAGGCAGTCATTATCCATACACTCCCTCAAACTTTGGCACTGAGAGCTGGTTTTGGTGGGAACATGCCCTATTTCATCAGTGTGCAAATTGTAAGTTTCTCCCAAAAAGCTGTTGTTTTTAAGTTCTATTTTAAAAATACTATCATTTTGAATATTAACATTTCTCCCTCCATCTAAAAAAGCTATCCAGATGTTCCACAAATATCCTTATGATGTGGCTGTCAGTAAATTAGTGCTTTCTTTTAAATTCTTTTAGATTTTGAATGTTTATGGGATAATTGAGCCCTGTACCTCCTCCTAAAGGTTTTTAATGGATCTAGTTTTGTTTATGTACCTTTTTTGCAATAGGTACCATTTGAGACATCAATGCCATTAAATAGTGCACAGTAAATCAGTTAAACTAGATATGAAAGCATTCACCAACCCTGAAGTCAAATTAGAAGTTGACCTATCATTAAGCCCTATCCTTCCAATTCAAAACCAATTCAATGAAAGGTACCTTTAACTTTACATGGTAACAGAATCAAAATTTCTAAATACCTGACTTAGAAGGGGAAGCCTCGAGCTAAAGATATCCCGGAGATCTATGGTCTATAAGCACCAAATAAAAGTGACAACTCAGGCCACCAGCTACTGAAAAGACACATGATGTAGTACGTGTACATATACTACATGAAGCAAGGTAGCAGGCAAGACAGGGACTGGAAGACAGTTTTTCCTCCAAATTTTAAAACTTCAGGTAAGAGAATGATGGAGAATGATGACATTTACACTTCAGAATGAAATTTACAGCCTAAAATGATTTCATGCAAATACATCTACATGTACATGAGTAAGAAAGCACTGATCACAAACTTGTGTCCCAGAGACATGAAATACTTTCGAAAGGAGGGAAGGCAGAAATCAAACAGAGCTTTTATAGCTCCTTATAAACTCTGCACGTTATAAGCCAGTGTTTACAGGCTAAAATTTATGAACTAAACAAGAAACCTGGAAACACAAACATTTCAGGGGTTAATCTCCCATTAAAAAAACCAGCTTGATGCAAACTATGATGTCCCTGGCTTTTTCACATAATATACTACTTGGTTCCTTACAACTATGTATTTTCATGAAAATAATTTAAACCTTAATATCCTTCATATATGTTCCTTGGCTAGCATCTTGCAGCTGATACCACCTTCTTTTGGTGAAGGCAGACACAAACAGGGTAGTTACAGTATCCTATAATGTAACATCCTAATCTAAATGAAAATACTTACCACCACAAAACTATGTTTAATCTGAAAGAAACGCTCATATAACCTAGCACTATATTCTAACTACTTCCTTCAACACAAAAAGAGACAAAACAACAAAGTTTGGATCATAGTAAAATTACAAATAGAAGTAGTTAACCTTAAAAATAAGCAGAAACGCAGTTTTAAAAATGCTTTAATGAAAAATGGTTTATAAATGTTTCCTTATCAGAACCAACCTTGTTTATCTTCACAGACAATGCTTTCTTGTTTTGTTTGTCATACAAAATACTACCTGTGAGGAATAAGAAACAAAACTTTCATCTTAACTTTGGCATATTAGTTTTTAATTGTTTGTCAAAATCATTAATGCTATGAGAGGTTAATGAAAATGTATCTCAAGTGTATTTACAATGTTACATACAAACTGAATAAAATTAAAATGCATGCACCTTCATAATAGCTTTTTATATGTCAAGCAGTTTTCACCTCTTCAGGTATTTGCTTAGCTTCCCAAGTTATGAACACACTTACTGAACGATATCTACTAAACAAGCCTCTCAAAATGGCAGCCATAAAATACAGCTAAGTGCTTCTTGTGTCTGAACTCTCACCAGAAAACTTCCTGTGAATAAAAGCTAGCCATTAGCTGTGCACCAGCTGTCTGATGCAGAAAATGACTTTAAGCTGAAACCAAATCCATTTCACTTGTGACTGAAATTGAAGAGGCAGTCTTTCCAGTAAAGTAAGAACAGTAGTTTCACATACTGCTATTTTGTTCCCTTAAGTTCCACGTTTCTATTCCTTGGTACTTGGTTTTCACATGCAAATGTAAGAAATTAAAAAAAATATTAAATTGGTTTATCAAGAAAAGAAATTATAGAGTTCCTTAATAATAAAAAGCAGTAATTCTAGCAAATGGAGGCCAAATACCACTTACTGTATTTTTTCTTCAAAACTTTGCTTAATTTTGCTGTTAACGGCCCTCTGTCTGGACATACAGCTCTTCTGCAAGATTCACAAAAGTTATTACAAAAGTAATTTCTGGGCATATTTAAGCCAACAGTATACACACCCCCAAAAAATCAGCTCCTATTTTAAGGAATTTTTATTTCATGCACCTAAACCAAGTTCTGACAGCTATTAAAACCTGAACTTGCATCATGTATATCATCTTCCATATATTAAAAGTCACAGTGCTTCAAAAAGCTTACAGATGGGAAAAAAAAAGGAAAATCCACATACACAATAAAAGTTAATATCCTCTATTAACTGTAACCTGAATGCTTAATTTTGCTTCATTTCATGGCAACATGTGAAAGATGTTATAACCTGCTTTGAAGAATATCAAAGTCAAAAGTGATTCAGAATGGTGAGGTGCAAAGATTAATCTTATCTATGTTCTGGTAACAGCAAAAAAGGTGATTTACTTCCAGGTACCTTTTCTGCAGTAAAGTCTCCTTCAAATTCAATCTCATGATCTCCGTATGTATCATATATTCCATTAAACATTGCCTTTAAATTATCACTTTTTAGTGAAATTTGTCTGTGTAATCCTGAGCTTCCCCTTATACAATGCAGCAAATAATAAAGCTTCCCACATTAGGAATGGTATTTCCACAGTTCCCCCTCAAACTCACTAGAATAAAATAACTTCTTGACTAAAACTAGGTCCTACTATAAAAGACCACCACCAAAGTTTATAACACACAAGAAAGGGGATGTCTGTTTAGATAACGAAAGAAAAAGACTCATATTGTTAAAATATGATCTAGCCACAAAGTCTTAATTTAAATAGGAAATTTACCAGAACTGCCTGAAAAATGCAGCTTTCACAGAGCTCAATGCAGGAAACACGTTGCTTCTTACTTCTTGCTTGCTTTTGTAAGTATTCAAGTGGGAATTACATCAGTGACAGAAGTAAAGCTAAACCACCACTGATGGGAAATAGTTTATTTTAAAAGAAACTTATTTTTTAAAAAAATTCCAGGTGTATTTTTAAAACAGTTGAATTTATATTTTCAATAGTCCAATTAGAACACTTGAAATTAAGTGGATAACCAACCTCACAAAACTTCTCATCTTCACATGGCTATATTTTCCCTTATTGCATGCACAGTTCTCCTCTTCTTCCTTCCTCCTTAGTTGTTTTTTAACCTGAACCTGTATTGAAAATAAAGTCAATCCACTCTAGAATCTCAATACATGTGGGCTTCAAATACATTCAAAGACTCTTAAGGTCTACAGAGAAAATAAGCTCGAACAGAAGGACTCGAAACCGTTTCACATCATTATTTCTTTAATCTCACAGTTTGAAGATTTGAAACTTTTTTTCATTTGTTTTTCATGAAATGGAAGAAAACTCACTTCGATACGTATACTGGCCATGTCAGAGATGCATATCAATTCACAAGACCAAAAATCCCTGAATATTCAGACTGCCGTCTCCAGTACCTCAAAGCTCTGCACTATCTTCCATTGAAAATTTGGAAGCTAGGTTTTTTTAAACTAAGTTGGTTGATGTAAATACACGAGGTTCAGTTTGGGAAAATGCTGAACTACCACTCAATGTCAAGTGCTTCCTCCTAATTAAAATACACCCGCTTTTCCTCTAGAGTAAAATAACTTACGGATTTTATATAACATTGGGGTTTTTCCACATCTTCAAAATTCTAAGAAAGCAATACAATTTTTGGTACACACTATGAAGTTACTTCAATGGCTACATTGCAATTGTTCGCACCAGATATTTTGTACTTCCTCATTCCAGAATGCTGGCTTTATATGCAACTCCTTAAGCTATTAGCATTCTTGTTCCGAATACCACAAATTGAAAGCTGCTGATGTCCCAGTGGCAACCCTGCTAATACTGACCCCCACATCAGCATTTCTTGGTACGCATTCCATCTATCCCTGCTGCTCCAGGGGCTTTTTTTCAGAGCACAACCCTTGTTCTCTGCCCACCCGCTTATACTGCAGAACCTTTCAAACTGTATTTTGAAATAGTGTGCAAAATGAAAAGTTATCTTTTTTCAGTTGCTTCCTTGATTCTTTAGAAATAAAGAAGATACAATATGCTAGCACGGTTTCCTATGAGGAGGAAGTATCTGCGGCTCTCAGTATGGTGCCTTTGCAGTTGACTACCTGGGCCTTGAGAAGCACAAAAACTGGGTAGTGGGAGCCTGTTTTCTAAACATAGCAAAATGCAAACCCCACATCTTTGGAATTATTTATAACCATAATTTCACCACATAATTTCAAAACTGTACACAGAATTATCAGCAGCTTTCTACATACATTTTCAAGATCAACTATCAGAATCATTTTATTTTCCTACTTGATAAACTACTCTCCACAGAAGTACTATTCAGAAAAACAGAAAGCTCAAAAAAATTCAGAAATTTAGGTTGAACAAGGCTTAGCGTTAATTGACTCCTCTTGCCTTCGTGTGATTTTGTCTGTGAATTGGGGACTGTGAACACATAAAAGATTCACCTCAGCTTAAAAGCCCAGACTGCATGTTGATTGATATAGCAACTGCTTACAAAACCTAGTCAAAAAACACTTTGAGATCAATTACTATACTAATGTTCTTGGATATATCAGGAACACTCAAAGATACTATAAAGCAGCAACAGCAGCTTTGTGATTATTATTACTATAAAAACTGGCATTGAAAAAATAATTTTAAAAAATTCCTAGCTTCAAATACTTAACAGAAACATTAAAGCAGTAATTATTTTATTAGGAAAGCTTACCTAACAGAGATGTATGAATAAAAGGCTGCAGCATCACTGGGGTGTTCCTACAACTGAAATTCTTTCAGAAAATAAGTCTGGAACTTACCTTTATCTGCTCTTCCACTGCATCAAGCCTGCATACTGCTTGAAATGGTCTGCGATCAATAGGACACGAAGCCTGCGTCTGAAAAATTATTTTACTTATTACAAAATCTGTAATAAGTTAGGACAAATCTGTTTTCTCTATCATTTCTACATGTACAGTTTATTCGCTATCACTGTAGCTTAAACAAAAAACCAACACAAAATCACTACTTGTTTACAATATGAATGTATTTGCACACATTATCCATACACTCAGTATTTTGTTTCGTATAATTAGATTTCTCCTAAGGGGAAAATCTAAAGGAAACAAGACTGCAATTCAGAAGCTGCATTCAAAAGAGGAAAAGCATTTTGCATCAAGTTCGCTACATTTTTTGAAATTTTTTAATCCCTGTTAGAGAATTGATTTTATACCCATATGCAAATGTCCTTTTCACTTCTTACTGATATTTTATGTCTTAATGTTCAACAGAAAGTGTGTTGGGTCATGTGGCCCCCCTAAACATAAAACTGGGAAGGCCAACAGCAAACGCGGGACGCCTCCCCTCATCCTGCACACCTATTTGACTATACTACATCTTTTTTTTGCAGTCAGCAGAGAGAACGTATTTCCCACATGTAAGACAGCTAAAGCTTTACAAATCACTTGCAAGAGAATGGAACTGAAGGTTACTTTACCCTACAGTTTAATGGAAATACAGATTTATTGTTCTTTCCCCAATCACCTAAATGTCCTCTTATTGAGGCTGCATTAGATCAGATAACACGCACACACACAGAGAAGACAATAAAATGTTATTAAGCATGGAACAGGGAAGCTTCAGCTGAAGTTCCACCCAACTGGATCACGTAGCAAATAAACTTTCAGAGAAATCCATATTAGATATTATTTTTTGCTTCTAGAGAATTGTTTATTCATTTTAATTCCATATAAGTGTTTGTGTGGGGGATTAGTGGGTTTTGTTTGTTTGTTTGGTTTGGTTTTTTGTCATCATCCTCACCCTCCTTCTTTCCAATGGCCTTCACGGGCTCACAGCCAGCCTCGAGCCCTAACTCATCCACTGAACCATCCCTAAGAGGCATGCAATTTCTGACCCTAAGACAACTATGAGGGTATTGCACTTTTTATTTATGCAAGCAAGATGCAGTATTAGAATTGCATAAGCAGCGACAAGAAACCTGCATATGAACTCTGCCCTGAAATTCAGTGGTCAACCTCCTTCTTGTCTTTTCACTGGGGCTTTGCATTTTCCAGTTCATTCTGATCTTTTCTCAGTTTCAAAGAGCGCTCTTTTTCACCTACACAGCCTCCAAACCTCAAGCATTCAGGCAGCTTCTGATTTCAACTGAAGTAGACAGAACAAAGTTAGACTGACTAAAAAAAAACACCAAACAAAACAAAAAAAAAGCCAGGGGTAGTTTCATGAACAAGTTGTTGAACAAGAATATAAGTTAAAGCCGTTAACTCTCCTTTTGATGATCTGGTACTTTGTCCTAACTAAAAACTTCCCTCTGTGGGGGGATACCATCGCTCCCTGCAGTGTCATGGCCTTGGTTAAGAAAAGCACATCAGGTAATTCAGCCAGTTCGCCAAGGACTCAGATCATGCAGACAGTTTTGTCCTGTAGTCAACGTAAAGCTAACCCACATTAACATAACAGTATATTGTTCATTTGGGATATCTGACAGTATGCAGTGTACTGTAACTGCTGAGTCAGCTGCAAACGTCAAGGTTAATACTTCGATTCTTAGACATACTACATTGTCAGAGACAGGTAGAAGGAAGTTCATTTTCTTAAGTCATTTTCAGTCTTATTTCAGTATTTAAATTAGCTGAAAAGGGAGTTTTTTCAAGAATACAATGTTTCTAACATTAAATTTACACATGAATATTAGATTATCTTCCCAAGTTTAAGTCACAGTAAGTTATGTTTATTCATTGCAATGAAGTACCATAGAATACTAAGTGAGATTAACAGCAATCCAAATGACAAGTGTTTTTGCTCCACTAGAAAAATGTTACTGTTACACATTCAGTTCTTCTGGACAAATATTTAACAATTACATACAGCTATACACAGGAGTAGAAAAAGAGGAAAATGTTCTGGAAGAATCCAAAGCTACCATTATGTTCAGGAACAGCAGATGCTCCTTTCACCCCTATTCATTTGCTTTTCACAGCCCCAGCATTATCTGACAGTTCTCAAGTGAAATTCTAACAAAAACAGGACAGCCCCATGCGCAGTCTCCTGCTCCCCAGCACAGTACAATTGCTGGGTAGCCCTGAGGTAAACTAGAGGTTATTTCATCTATATAACACTTTTGTCTAAACATGCATCAGCTCTTATGTGTCAGCAGACAAATAAGAAAATGCCTTTTAAATGGAAATGGAAGAAAAAAAAGTTTCCCCTGTCCCTTTTCCCAACAGCAAGACTGAATTTGTGCTGCTATAGAAAGGAATGAGGGTAAAAGTTGACTACATTTTTACAAGAAGCAATTATGAGGCATGGTGGCCTTTTACGCATCTCCATTTTTTTTGAGAATATGGTTCAGTAACCTAAGAAAGTATTGAGTCTTCTTTCATTGAAGGCAAGTTAGCAATTCCTCTCCTTCAGAGGCTTCTGTTCAGGTAGCATCGTAAGTAATAGTGAATGTACACTATCCTTTTGGGAGGCAAAAATTTAAAACAAGAAAAAAGTCACTGAGATGGAATGACTCCAAGCAGCAGCTATCACTTTTATTGTGCACAGGGAGGAGGAGCGTGGGACGCTTCACAATGGCAGAACCACCACAGCTTCATACAGTATCTTCCTTCAATACAACTGTTTAACAATCAGATCATGTAGTATTTAACGCAACCATCAAAATCACTAGAACCTCACAGATGGTATTTGTGAGTTGGTTTGCTTTTCTTCCCAACAGTGCTTTTCTTTGACAAACACAGAATAGTAGCTCAGCACACTTCAAACTATCTTCCGACTGTTATACTCTCCACACAAAACTACTCCTAGTTTTCATGTTAAAACTGGTAACTCTACAGTGATTCATTCTTTCACCTATCCTGTGATATCTGGAGAATTCTCTTCATAAAAATACATAAGTGTTCAGGAACCCTGAAAAACTATCCATGAGCATGTGTGTGTAAGTTCTCAAGTTTCCCAAAAACTCATTTCATAATATTTTATTTGGTTTTGATGACCCTCTAGAAAAATCTTGCTTTAGCTCCACAGGCATAATGTTCAATATTCTTGTAACGGCTACAGCACCACAAAACTGTGATTTCTAAGCTCAAGTAGTAAGTGTCCCTTATGTCAACTGTGTCACTTCAAACAGCATTTGAACAAAGTGAAGCAGAGAAAGGGCTGAAGCAGTGACTATATTCTAGCGGGGAATTTTCAGGAAGCTACACGAATAGCTGCAAGCTAACCCCAAAATGTATTTGGCTGATAAAATAACTCTGACAGACATCCCCATCTCATCAAGTTCCATGTTTTGAGGTTTCATAACAAGTAGTAACAAGATGTGAGTATAAAATTAAAGTCACTGCATTAAGTCCCTTCCCCTATAATGTGTTTTGCTGATCCAAAAAAGAAACATGGTCCTGCACTCTTCACTGCTTCTTTATTAGACAACTTGTTAAGCAATACAAATAACACCAAATTCTCATAACTAAATTCAGGCTTAAAGGTGAGGTTTAGATTGTAAAGAAACATCTCTGTATTTCACTCCACCTAGTAATAATAGTACACTAAAAAGCTCACCACAATTCCGCCTCCAACTTCAGTGAAAAGGGAGACGATGGCAACACATGTAATGAGAAATCCTTCTCCACACTTCGATGAAAGAAGGAAGACAGGAGGAAACACACTGTTCTCTAGAAAAATGGAGAAACTCAGGATGTTTGTTTTTTTCAGTCCGCTTAAGAAAGGCATTTGAAGTTTTTGTAGTTATGCTTTAGGAAAGCACTATTTCTGACAAGAGATGTTAAATTTTGGTTTTTTTTTTTTTTTTTAAATATTCATGGATAGTAAAGATACAAAGTGCATAAGAACAGAGATTCTAGTCTCAACAGTTAATCAACAAACTACCTAGTTATAATTCCAATCTTCTCTCTACCTACATCACACAGCTGGCTAATCCTTACTTTCCAATCCAAAATTGCCATACAGTGTTGACAAGTTCTGTTGGAATGGTGGTTGTCTTTAGGAACAGGTGAAATGATCCATTATTTGTAAGGATCTGTGAACTCTATGCTAAGAGAGATACTGTACGTGTCATTGTACTTCCTTTGACACCGTATTATCGGAAGAATTGAAGTCAAACTCAAAAAACTCACACAGACTTTTGCACTGTGCTTTAACAACATGAACATTCATACGTTGCTGCATGAATGTACTTGATAAATCACAGAATCACAAAATGGTTAAGGTTGGAAGGGACCTCTGGAGGTCATCTTGTCCAACCGCCCTGCTTTGGCAAGGAAATATGCCAAGAAGAACTATATACCGCAAAGACATACATGCAATTTAAAAAAGGTATCTAAAGTCTACATTTTGTGAAAGAATGATTAATACAGTTTCTGTGCAGCAGTTCTCCGATGCATTGTCTATATATGCATTACCTTGGATGCACTTGAACAAGGAGGTTTTTTATTATTGTTTTGATTTTTAGATTTAACGTTTCTTTGAACACAATGCATATTTGGTTCACGAATGTAATCTTAACCCTGCCCACAGTGCTCTGTACTGCAGATCTCTGTGGAGCTTGCTGCCACAGGAACTGATTCCGTCCTATATCCGTTAGGACAAATGAAAACCAGATCAGAAGGAATATAGGTTCAGAATTCCATTTACCATACAGGCAACTCTCCCTACCCTCAGAAGAATATACATGTGCAGTATAATCTACACGATCAATGAACCAAACCTCATACTAGGACAAAGGAAACTACTACTCTAAGAGCAGAACATCTGCTAGAAATGTAACACAAGACAGCTCTTCGTGCCAACTGCTTAGTTTTTTAAGTCAACCACTGATACTGCACAGGGTCTACCTCAATCTGCCCCAACGCTTTGGATAATTTACAGCTGAACGTACTCCGCTTTCAAATCCTCTAGATGAGGAAAAATGAATGAGGGAAACCAGGTGCAGAGAGAGATATAAGCACTCTGAAGAACAGACAGGAAGTTAAAAAACCTGCAGTAAAGCAGAATAAATATCCATATCCTCTAATTTAAGATTGTTTTCTTTAAAAAAAATACAAAAAAAAGTAGAGAGTGTTCCTCTAGTGCACGCGGGCAAGATACTATTGCTGCTAAAGCAGCTGCCTTAGCTGAGGTGGTTTGGGCTACTTCCTGTATCTGCTTGCCATGGATACTCAGCTAACCTCCCTTCACATTAGCTTTACTTAAATGCTTTCAGAACTGATTATTATAAGCTAAAACATATGTGCTTACCAACTGAAATAAAAAACACAAACGTAGCAGAAAGAAGTTTAAAAATATAGTTTTGACCCAACTACTTTTAATCTACTCATGGTATTACAGACAAGAGAAACACATAATGTAATTACTTCCCTTGGTGTAACACAACAATACTGATGGTGTTTGAAGACTCTAGATAGGCGGGTTTTTGTGGTTTTTCTATTGGTTCACCCCCCACCCCTCCCCTTTTCTACACACAGAACAATACCCAACACTCCCTCTTTGTTATGTGGGCAGAACAGTGTTATCACGTACATGTTCTTACACTGAAAGCAACCCTTCACTTACATTATCCTTCAGCACTCCCATTGAAGGGTGTGTCCAATAACCTCAGCTCCGGATTTAGCATCTTTTACTTTTTATGATCTCCCAACATAGCCTCACTGAAATAACAAAGTCTCAAGCTTGAAAGTCTCCATTAGTAAATTATTCAGTTTACAGAAGCAGTTGACAGCTGTCACTGTATTATGTTAATCTTTGCATGCCCACTAAAAACAGTCCCCAGCAGTTTGCCTGCCTGGTGCTGCCAAGCAATGCTTGGGAGAGCTCTGGTTAGCATGACCAAAGGCACACAAGACAACAGTCTCACAGTATAGCAGAGTTTAAAGAGTGTAGAACAATTTAACTTTTTTTTTTTTTAAATGTCCCTTAATCCAAAGACTAGTTTTTTAGTGAGGATTCTGATCTGCCTCTCATTTTTCTTTTACAAGTTGGACACCTTTCCTTAAAGGGAAAGAAAATACAGCACCAACTCAACTGTAATGCTACCTAATTCTGAAACTAAATGCTCAGATTTAGCCATCAGGATATAATATATTAGATGTTCTATGGCAAATTTCCTATACCTTTGTAGCCCTTCATGGAACAAACCAGAACATACTCGCTTAAAAGTGATTTTTATATATTGCTTTTAAGTGCACATATACCTATTTATATTATCTCTCTCCGTCTCTTCTTAAAAAGCAAGATCTTCAAAGTGTTACGGCTGCTCCTTGCACACAGAAAACCTGCCGGTACAGGACACTTCACTGCAGTTGCAATGCTGAAAAACTCCCACAGATAGAAGAGGGAGCAGAATGGTAAACAAACTCTTACTGTTTGCCTAAGCTACCTTGGTTCTAATTAGAATCTACACAGTTATATGTAAAAGTCATAAACTCTCAGAAGAACAATGATTCTGTAGAATTTGAAAACAACAGTTTAAAGAAGTAGTAGCTCCTGTTGTATTTTGAAGCCCATCTGCAACACAGAAAGTTAGAGGAAATACCCAACTTGAACACAGACTGCTGGCAAAGCCTGTAAGTGTACGTGGTGTAACTGTAGACACACGAAAGAGCACTTCACGGAATGTGAACATGTGTTTTTTGTGTGTGTGTTGTTTTTTTTTTAAAGATTTTTCTCAATAATCTTACTCTTAATTTTATTATTCTCCAGTGCTTAAACAGAAAAATAGTGTTTATAAAACCTATTTATTTCTACCCAATAAAAATACTTAATCGCTGAACAGAATCTGGTAGCGTATTTTTTAAAGAGCAGATAATTTTTGTATCTTCATTCTTCAGAGTGACTTAAAATGGCTACTTGTCAATTATCTAGTTTTCATTAGTTATGATCAACCAAGAACTCGCAGAGAAAGCTAAACCTTATGCAACACTTCTCAAAAAGAACAAAACCATTTACTTACTAAATATCAATAGTCAACACAAACCCCACAGGGCATCAGCATGCTTCACATGGCCACATGCTTATAATACGTCTCCATCATTCCAAGCTATAAAACTTCATCTGCTTCACACAGCTGAAGCCTCTGAACATCCTGTCAGCCAGTTTTCACCACTTTTTTTTTTTCTTCCTTTACTTTTAATTAAAGCTACTAGAATAGGAAATGGAGTTTCATGAACTCAACAGGTCCAACTGCCCAGTACCCTCAGAAAAGGCAGGTTGGCTGGTTTTACCCATCAGATGTCATTAATGGAAAGAAGCAGTAGAAGCCTTACGTAGCTTTAAAAACAACCCCCCACCATTTTTACGGCATTCCATCTACATCACCTGTAAACTCTTAAGAGCAGCAGTTGCTTTTATTCTATTTGGATAGTACTTTCTGCCAAAAAAAACCTGACATGGCAAAAAAAATGTTGTATCACTCACCTCTAAAACAAGAAAATTTCCCTTCCTCATTGGGTTTAAAAGCATCTGTTAAGACAATGTGACCAAACTCAAATCCAGCAGCAAGCCCTCCACCCACTGTACTGCTTCCCTGTGCATGTCACTATTCATTACCTTTCAACAACCAGCTAAGGAAGCCAGGATAAAATTGTGGATGAGAATTTCCTTCTCCCTTATTTATAAGAGTACTGCAATTAATCATTTGCAGAGCAGAAAATCTGGCAACAGGAGACTTAGTACACTATCTGGTTTGTGAATCTAAAGCAAGTTTCATCTAATAACCTTTTTTAATACTCTGAAGTTCATACAAAACCTTCATAAAGAACTGATTTATGTTACTGTCTGCCTTCAGTAATCAACAACATAAAAATTAAAGTTAAAATATAGTAAGTAAAAAATAATAGGTAATACATATGTATATATACACACATATGAGTGATACCAACATTCTAAACGATTTACTGAAACCAAAATCACCATTTACTTCAAAAGAAAGTTATCGCAAAGAAATCAAGTAGTGATCTCTACTACAATGAGCAACCAATTCAAGTGCACAGAAGCAGGATAAAAAGCAGCATCTCATTTGAGCACAGCCCCCCCCCAGCATAAAGCAATTCTAATTTGGTGTTTTATGTTGACAACTGAAAGTTACAGGAAAGATAAAGATACATACAGGACATACGTGGGCAAACAGGGATTACACAGAATAAGATCATCAAGAATATCCTCAACAAGTCATTTTTCTTCAAGGTTCCAGAACTATCACAAAGGTATTGACACAGATCAAGTAATAGCCATAATTAAAACAAAAATTTTTAATTCAGAATAACACTAAACCTTCTAGATTAATTTTCTTCAGAGTTAGAAAACTAAGGTTTTATCAGACTCATGTTGTAGACTAACATGAAAACATACTCGTCCCAGCTGTAAGAGTTGACAGTATGACAAACAGCGTAAGGGATAACAAAATAAGATTAAGCTAACAACACTGCCGTATTACAACAGGCACATAGTAAGTCAGGATGCCTAGTGAAAGAAAACAAAGTACTTTATTGCACTAAGGAGAAATTTTCCTATGATCTATTTACAAACTGGTCATTGAAACGCTTCTGTGCAAAGTCAGAATGCATAACCTATTTTATTAAAAAAAAAAATCCGTAGGTATTAGATGCAATAGATTTCACTGAAAAATAAACACACACCTTGGTTCTCAGTCTTACCTCAGCCCATTTAAGAATACAAGTGATGCAGAAGGTATGACTGCAGCTCTCAGGAAAACCAATCTCTTGTTCTAGAAGGCAGTTCAGACAGATAGGGCATGTGTCACCATCATATAATCGCGTAGAACAGGAACAGCTTTCTTCATTTTCTTCACCTGGTATTATTAACATTGACACTTAAAATATTTGACAGTTTTTGAAACTCAGTCCTTCTAGATTCAAATAATAAGGCAATAAGATACAATTTTATGTAGTTAAGAGCAAATTAATCAAGTTTTCAGGTCTAATGCAGTCAAGACGCTGGCCAGAGGAATAGTTAAAGAATGTAATTCAGGTGAAAAATACTACACAACACATTTCATAGACCACTGTACCAATATTTGCCATTAGAACAAAGGAAAGTTAGCTCTAGTGCTATTTAAATAAAGTAAGCATCACACAGTGTTTCCTATTGGCCACGTAGACATCGTTCTCCCGAGTTCTTTCTCCTCAGATGTTTGCACTCTCTCTCCATGAAATAAATTAGACCAGCATATTCTATATTCATTATCTTATATACACATGGTCTTCCTTTATTTTAGTTTTGCAGACTATTTTAATCTGAACATCCTCAAATATTTACCTAATTATGTACATTAAATAAAAAATGCCCCAAATTTTGTTAACGCTAGACATTGTTTTCAGAATATAAAAATGTAAGACCTTGTCTTCAAGGAATTTTACTCTAAATTATTTTTTTTCTGAATAACAATTGCTATCTCCATTTCTGTTCTGCTACTAGAAGTCAACAAGTGAAAAACAGAAGAGACAGGAAAGGATTTGGGGACCCCACAGGCCAAAGAAAAATATGCTGAGATAGTGGTTATGTTTACACAACTTCTTTCAAAACAAGCAGCATACTAATTGAGAGAGTAAATGTGAAATCTGACCTTCACAGCTTAAATCTGAATAATATACTTGAATATTTTCACACACACAGACTTTACCTTCCATGCCTTCATGCTTTTGACCCTCAGTATCTTGAATATATTGTTTCCTGTTCTTCATCTTCTTATGAAATGCAGTCTAGAAAACACAGAAACAGTTTGCACAGTTCATTTAGACTGCAACTTGAAAATAAAAATGACTATTATGGGTTTAATGAGTGCTCTCCAGTGCTTTCCATTTCTTTATAATTTTGTAGAGTAGAAACACACGACACTAAGAGTTAGATATAGATCATTCACAATCTGTTTTCAATTTATGAGCACCATTAATGTTGTCTAGAAACCGATACTTCCAACTTGAAAATTGTTTTTGTTCAACAAATGCAAAGTTTTTGCAGTGTTTTAAGACCACCAATGGTGCTTTTATTATTAAAAGTTTAATGCATTGCTAAGTTTCCATGCAAGCCACTTCAGGTAACACTGAAGTAACTAACATCTGCAAATTGCCCTTCACAAATGGTTGGAGCAACAAAACTAAACACACAAGCACTAGAAGAGTTAGTTGTTTTCCACACCTAGCATCACCATAGCAGTGGCAAGTGAGAAAAATGAAAGCATCTGACATTTGCTTGCTGCTTGCTTTTGTCATACGATTAGAACTACTGGCACTCAGAAAAAAAAAAATTCAGGGAAAGTCACATCAAACAAGGGACAGGTGACAAGCAGGGGTGCAGTGGAGTCTCATGAATGGGGAGGATGCACCTTTTAACTGTTCTCCAAAGGAGCCGTATGAAGTAAGAATAACATGGATAGAGAATATTCTTGTGATCCACATCATACAGGTTGAAAGAATCTGATCTCCCACAAGAAAGAGCAAGTGTATGTTCATTGGAGGCTTATCTACTACATGCAGAATGAAATGCTTGGGGGAAAAAAAAAAAAGTAGCTACCCCAAGGATTGAATCTCCTGTATTTCAAACTTCTGTAGCCACATCAGAGATGGTGTAAGCACCTAAAGCTCCAACCCAATAGCCCTAGAGGGACCAGCAGTTTTCTTCAGAACTACATAAAGCTTTAAAAATTCTTATTATTTAAAAGGACAAATTAAAACTTCACAAGAGATTGAAGAAACCAGAAATTACCAATATCCGCTACTTAAGCATTCCAACCTGAATCAAACCAACTCAGGTTTCAAACCCCTCACTCTTTAGCGCCTTTGCTAGAAAAAGCAGCAGGACAGAGCCGAGAATACCACAATCACACTCAGCTAAACTTCCTCCTATTTCACTTACAAACTACACTGGTTTCCCTTTACCACCTGGATATCCAGGAGAGGGAAAGCCAGAATTTGCCTCCCAAAGCTTATCTTCTGATCAAGTCTTTATTGCTCAATCTTGGCAGCAGGAAGTGTTTTAACTATCATTTCTTTTTACTGAGAAAAATGCTCCCGCAGATACCCATCACATAACACACTTCTCATTTTCTTCGGCAATCCAGGAAAGCAGGATTCTGATCTGAGTCTTGAACACAGAAACTTTATTAAAGAAATAGTCAAAACTGTGAAACTAATTAGAAATAGGTAATGAGAATGCTCAATGGCTTCAATGTTCCCATTAGAAACTACTTTTTAATCCCCCCCAAAGGTACATACGAATCAAGTCAGCTGAGTGTGGGGAAAGGGAAGGAAGAACATAACAAAAACCTAGCTATAGAGGAATTTTCCCCCCACATTGCTATCCTATTTTGATATATAAATGACTTAAAGATATCATTAGGATAAATGCCATCAACTGTAGAGCAGGTAGTAGCACTAATATTAATACAGACTGTGTTGCAGTGAATGCCGTAAGTTGTATACAAGTTCTCTTCACAGAACAACCACTGATCAGAACACCACCTATTATCCTTTGCAGGCTAGACAAGATGAAATCCAACAAAAGGCCAAACTGCTACTCGAAAATTTAATGCCTTAAACAAGAAAAATCTGCATCAAATTAGGACAAGTAAGACCACCAAAAACACATCTGAATTTAAAATACAAGATGGAGGTCTGTTGTTTTCACTGATTTGCAAAAGGGCTTTCAAGTGGCTTTGGTCCCAAAAAGTTTAAATCATGTGGTGTTATGTGGTATACATGCTTTTATGTATAAAACAGAACATTCCTTCTTTTCTGTGTCTTAACAAAGCCTCAGGAATGCTTTACAGAAGCAGAAAAACCCATAAGCTGTGCTCAAACCTCTCTCAAACCTGTAAAGTCCCAGGACACATCACAGCTGAGACCATTTAAAGGGAAGATCAAGAATTCTGCACCCTGAATCCATCCACAGAAAAGGTTTTAAATAGACACAATCTAGACACCAAATCTTAACTTTAGCAGTAGCTGTGGAGTTCATGCTTATTATAACACAGATCTTGAGTTGACTAAGAGTGCAGAAACAGAATCTACAGAAGCTCCTTTTATTTGTTTTTCCCCCAGAAAAGGTAACCCTTTCTCCATTAATACTCTAAGACTCAAAGATGTCCCAGAAATCCTTGCACAGTTACAATAATTAGGAAAACAGAGATCCTAAGATTTTGACAGAATATCAGTAAATCCAAGATGTGCAGCAACTGAAAATATTTATGCAGTGTTACATCGTTCGTCTCACAAACCTATTATTTAAACAGATACTGAGTGCCGCTAACGCATTTCACAGATCACTTTGCACAGCACACCTTGCCAGTTTGGCACTGCATTTCGCACAACACAGCAGAGGAATTTAATAATACTAAAACATATATATTCATAACTAAAGTAAAAGACATCATCAAAATTTATCTACTATTTTAACAGATTAACTTTGGAAAGACTGTTTATTTCACTATATTACAAGGGGCATCACAGGCATTGAAATAGCAGAAGGGTTAACACTGAAGACTGCTGTTAAATTTATAAAATCAAAAACAGAGTTAGGAAAAGAGAATATAGTGGTTTAGGAGGAGCAGACATCACAGAAAACAGAACTCTCATTTGTCCCAAAATGTGACATATTCCTTTAGATTCTTCAGACTTCAAGGAGATTTGGAAGTATTTCTCAGACTTTGGCACTCCAGCTGCATGCCATACATGAAATCTGTAGTCATGGGTGGGGGGCAGACGGTGAAAGAAGTGAGATAAGTTTTTGTCATTCTCCCAGTTACCCAATTGTATGAGCTCACATGAAGATCAAATTATGTCCACATCCTTGGCTAACCCTGTCCGATCAGGCTACTGCGCATCTGAAGAATGCTAATATCCAAAGAGTACTTCTACCAGATTCCACTGACCCATGACCAGCATGTTCTAGTTACAATCATTCAGTTGTGGATGTGAAATGTTAGAAAATACCCCAAGACCCACACATGCAAGGCAACTGACAGCAACAAGCACTGTACTGTGTTACTGCTGACAGAAACAAAATCACACCACTCCCTCAACTCTATAGATGAAATACTTCCTAATACTGCCTAAAGACAGCATAGCACTACAGCCACAAGTGTACTTTTCTGGTGCTTGTAAGTTTTCAATGGTATTACTTTGCACGAGAAATACCTTATTTAATTTCATATTTGAGATAGAAGCAAGAATATTCTCATATATTAAACTGAAAATAGTGAACAAGGACATTATCACAAGTACACACCACCACTCCACCCCCCATTATTTTTACAGGAGTTAAACATCTAGGTTTCTAGGTTATTCTTCAAAGAAAATTCCTGTTCTTGTCTTCATGGAAGGCAGATGCCAAAGACATCTGCCAACAGAAGTGCTTAAACAGAGTTAACTGTAGAACGTGGGAATATCACTGTCTGTCTGAGCTTCATGATGTACTTAAAACAACTCCATAAAGCAGACTGATACAAGTGTCATTTACACACTAAACCATTTTCTGTATCATGGAAATATAAGTGTGATTTACCTTTTATATTAACACAAACTACTTCATACGATTAATAACCTAAAAATACATATGTATTTCAACACTAATTCACTGTGCACGCAGAAGGGAACACTCGGTCTGTTCAAAGTTCTGCAACTGAATTTCTTACTAAACTAAAACCTATTACTTAAAAAAATCTTTAGAAACTTAAAATCAAATAGGAATGGAAAAATCATCAGATGAAAAACTGTAGTAGCCTAATTATAAGTAACACTTGAAACTAGCACACACCTTTTTGACTAACTAAAAGAAGTCTTCATCCAATACAGTAAGGGTCTAGAGACCTATCCACACAGAAGTACACTTGTTCAGTTCGAAAGGGGGTTGGAAATTGAGAACGTATCCAACAAGACCTCCAGTAAGCAAGTGCAAAATTATGTCCAAGACTGGCCTATTCTTGTTCCCCTAACGGACTTAACTTCAACATTTGTAATTAAACTTTCAAGTTCTTAGATACATGTTGCACCAACACTCATAGTAGCAACTTCTTTTGACTGTTCTGTTTCTACTAAAAATATTTTATTTTAGAAAGGATTTGTGGCACTCCTAGTTGTGTTTTGATTTCTTTACTAATGCAGGAACCAATCAGTTTCAAATATGAAACAACAATGACACCTTTTACTCCCATAAAAATTTTAAGCAGCAATAAGTAGGACTCTATTTTGTCCTATTCATATTGATTTAAGGAACCTTGTAAGGAGGTTTAAGATTCTCCTTCACCAAGTACATTTTTAAGAAAAACGGATCTCAATAATTAGCCACATTTACAAAAACAGAGATTATTTTTGTAATTAATGGCAGAACATGAAGTGTCCTCTGGAGTTCCCCCTATGGGCTTACCATAACCTCTGGACCATTACTGGGCATATGTCCAGCTGCTGATGAAAATTTTGAAAACTTTTCCCAGAACTCGTTTGTTATCTTGGAGATCGGCTGAGGAAACACTTAGTATTTCCAATGGCAGTTGAATATCTGAAAAGCTTTTTACCTACTTGCACGGTTAAGTCTAACACAACACATACTCTGAGAAAAGAAAAAAAACAAAAGATGCTACTGGGTATTTGCAAAAGCACATCAAGAACATCCACAGTTCTTTTTATTTGGAAAAACTTCTCAGTTGTCTAAAAAGCCTGGAAGGTAGACTTGTTTCAAGTGACAATTC